CTCGGCTGGCCTGCCCCTGCACTAGGAACTCCTGCTTTTGCTGTGGCTGCCAAGGAGGTCTTGGAGCTTCCCTCAATGCCATGACCTGCCCTGAGGCATCAGCCCATCCTGCAGGGCTATTCCCCCTGCTACAATCCCCTGAATTTCATGTTCCCGGTGTCTCAGGGAGCCCGGGCTGCCGGGGTTGTGTCGGTGTGGGTGGAAATGAAGTTCTCCCTCCTCCTCCTCCCGGCCCGGGAGCGCTGCCAGCGCCACTTGCCGCGGGTGCTCCGCGGGCTTTGTGCTGAGCTATCGGTGTGGAGCAACCCCGTGGTGCTGCCAAGGGCACCGGCAGCGTCGGTGCCTGCAGAGCCCGAGCCCCGGACCAAGGCAGTGACCCAGGAGGGTGTTTGTTTTCCTCCAGTCTTCACCAATTCCTGTTGTTGGGTCTTATTTTGGGTCTCCCCTGTCCCCTCCTGCTCGCTGGGGATTGCTGCCTGGGTGGAGGGGTTGGTTGCAGCAGCCTGGGCACCCTGTGACCCTGCTGTCACCAGGGTGCAGGAACCAGGGCAGAGCTGCAGTCCCCTGGCACAGGGTGGGACTGAGGGCTGGCTGGGGTGAAATCACAGCCTTCCAGTCCTCCACCCCCCTCAAAAACCTGCTGCCAGCCTGTGGAGAAGACTCTTCAGGGTGGAGCGGGTCCTGTGTGACTGCCATTGCTGAGGTGTCCTGGGCTCACCCTCTCTTCCCAGGGGAGCAGCTGGGTACCTCCCTCCCTGGGGCGTGGGTGAGGGGTGCCAGGGCGGCCCCGGCCTTGAGCTGCAGGAAGGTGTTGTGCAAGAGGACATGGTTTTATCACAGCGTTGGGCTCAGCGATCGTAAATGTGTCACCCTGGCCACTGCCAAGCCCTGTGGCACTGTGGTGCTGCCACGTGTGGGGTGCCAGCACTCCCGAGGGCTTGGTGTTCCTGGCAGGGGACAAAGGGAGTTACATGGCGAGACGGGAACATGTGGTACAGGGGGGTGAAGGGCAGCACAGCGTGGATATGGCTGGGGAAATTCCTGCAGGGCATGTCCCCAGTGATGCTGTGGGTACCAAAGGAGAACAAACAATCTCAGAAAAAAAAAAAAAAAGAATTACTAAGAAACCAGCTCAGTGAGGAATATTTCATAGAATCAGTAAATCATAAATGGTTAGGGTTGGAAGGGACCTTGTGCAGCTCAGCTGCTGGGAGAGCCCTGCCAGGAGCTGGTGGTCAGGGCAGGATCAAACATTTCATATATAAATATGTAGAAGTGGTGTTTAGGTGCTGGAATTGGAGCCCTTCTCCTGACCGTGCAGCATGCAGGTGGCTGGTCCATGGCCCCTGATTCCTCTGAAGCTCCATGGACATCACACTGCCCCCTTGGAGAGCAAAGGCAGCTCCTGTTTGCCAGACTCCTGGGAATGCTCCTGCTTCCTGTGCTGCAGCTGCATGGGGAATTGCACTGTTAGTGGACTCGTGGGGCCAGGATTGCCCCCATCAGCTTCCCTGGCTCTGGGTGCTGGCAGACCCACGGGTCAGGGTGAAACTGGGTGCAGACAAGCTGGGTGTTGCCTCCTGGAGGGATGGACATCCCACGCTGTGCTGCCCTGGTCAGGCTAGTTTCTCTGTTTTGCAATCACAGAGGGTCATGCTGGGGTGTTGGGGTGTGCTTTGGTATCGTGGCTGCTCTGTCTAGATCTGTGCCCAAGCTTCTTGTGCCCCTTCCCTGCTCAGCTGGGGTGGGGGGGGTCCCACTAGTCCCACCACTGGGTTTGCTGTGGAGGAGGGCTGGAGCTTGTGAGGGGGTGATGGAGGGGATCTGCAGCCCTGGCTGAGGCTGCACTGGTGGCAAAGGCTTCCTGGGTGGAATGGGGTGGGAAGGGGGTGCTTCCCAGCCAGCCTGGGCAGCATTTCCTCCTTGCAGAGGAAATTGCAGTTGCAATCCTGATCCCAGAAGGAAGAGCATGGTCTGGGAACACACATCATAACATGTTTCCTTAATGTTTTGCTGCAATTAGGATGCCCTGCACCTAAGTAACTGACCAGAGCCCAAGTTCATAGGGTGTTTCAGCCGCTGTGTCCCAGCTGGAGGTGTCTGTGGATGCAGGTGGCCACCCAGGGATGATGTCCCGGCCACCCAAACAGCTGTATGGTGGTCCTGGTGCTGTCTGGGAGCAGCTGTCCCACAGGCCGTTCCCGTTGCAGGAGGAGCTGCGCCCAAGGCTGTGCCACATGAAGAAGGGCCCCAATGGCTACGGCTTCAACCTGCACAGCGACAAGAGCCGCCCCGGCCAGTACGTCCGCGCCATCGACCCCGACTCGCCGGCCGAGGCAGCAGGGCTGGCGCCCCAGGCCACAATC